GATCCCGGCTGCCAGAGCAGCTCCATGAGCTGATAACGCTACGTGCTGCAGTGTGGGGCTTTTCCACCTACCTTTAGCTGACAGTCTTCATTCACAGCCAGGTTGCCTGGCTTCAAGTCCTACAACAGACAAGAGCAGAATAACAAGGATATTTGGATTTGCAAGGCATCAAAACGAGCCTCAGCCGAACCTCTGCTCGCCTTTGGTGAGGTCCCATAGCATGTCCAGTATCGATACAGCAAAGCCACTGTACCTGCTATACTGTACAGATTTATTTACTATTTTTTCTGGAATAATTTTAATTCAAAAAGAATCATCAAATGCTTCACAGCTTGCCAGAAAATACAGCATTTCCTCAAAATGCTGCACAAGTGAGCAAATCCAGACACATACAGGGTGTGGGAAAGGAAGGAAGGAGGATGCCAGAGGGACCTTAGAGCAGACGAGGCTATTGGTGAAACGATGTTTAGGAATTTATTAACTTAAATAAAATTTATAATAAAGCAAATAAAAAATAATAATAAAGCAGTGTTTCTCCTAAACAGACAAAAATCAGAGCAAGAGCACCCATGAACTTACCCTGTGGATGATGCCAGCTGAGTGGATGTACTGCAAGGAAAAGAGAAGTCACAATGTGAGCACCAGAGGCAAGACTTTCTGTTCTCCAGCAGAGAAACAAGAGCCACGAACAAGAACTGGCCGAGAAAATGACTCTGAGCCTGCAGCCCTCAGGACAAAGCTGGAAAAGAAATCTCTGCACACCATTTCTGACAGCATTTGCAGTTACGTTGCTGCTTCAAAGAGGAGGCTCAGAGCCAAAGAGGAGACCTGGAGCAACAGCTCCTTAGGGCAAGTGCACTGATAGCTTCAGACTATCAAAGGCATCAGGGTTACAGGTAGGAGCACAATCAGTAGATGACATGAAAACTGTGTTGGTTTGGGTGTTAAAAAAAAATCTTATCATCGAAACACCAAATTGGAAATCAGATTTGAGTTGCAGGAAACAGCTACGTGGCTTTTGTCACAGCAGATAAACCTTCTGTGTGCTCTTCCCCCTTTATTTGAACTGCAGATAACGGCGGTCTGGGTAAGGTGTTATTAAGGCTCATTAGTGCCTGGAAGGCGCTGCTCTGGCTCCAGTGGAGGATGCTATGGAGGGCAGCAGTAAGACATCATCTCCGCATCCCAGGGGTTGCCGTGGGGGCTTTCTGCTCTCCCAAAGCCAGCTACAGCAGCACGTCCCTTCCTTTCTCTGTTAAATAGAAAATCATCCCCTCTGGCTTCTCCCCTGAGAGCCTCTGATAGGAATTCAGCAAAAGCTCCAGCCTCTACCTCTCTATGCAGAGTTTTGTGAAGGGTTTGGGTGAGACACAACTGCTGCCATGAAAACCCATTGCGAGATCATGTTAACACCCCACTGAGTGACATGAACGAGCAGTCGTTTTATTGGTGTGTGCTGGAACAAGAGCAGTTCAACAGCAAATATCCCTTCTCAGGGGTGCCATAAACCCCCAAATCTTGCAAGGCAGCACTGGAAGGGGGGTTTAGCTATGGCCAGCCCAGAGGTGACGTGCAGAGGAGACACAGGGAGACACTAAACTCCTCCAGACCCACCTACCTTCAGCCCCTTCAGCATTTGATAGACCAGGTACTGGATCTTTTCATCACTGAATTCGTGTCCCATGATCTTTTGTAAATCTGTCCGCATGTACGGCATCACCAGGTAGCTAAAAGGCAGTAAGACAAGGCCCTGAGTCTAGGAGAAAAACATAGGGAACCAGACTAGCCTTGGTCTTCATTTTAGCTTGCTTTAACTAAGACGAGTTGTTGCGATGATGTTCCTGGCATAGCCTGCAGTGATGCTCTCAAAATCACCCTTTCTCCTCCCCTCAAATTGGATATCTGATGTCAAGTAAGAACAAGGATCTCCAGACTTTAACGATCTTTAATTAGCTTCCTTTAGACCTCAAGTGATGTTCAATTCCGGACGGCCTCACGCCATCTGGGAGCTGAAACACGCACGGCTTTGAAGAGCCTTGCAAAAGTGCTGTGTCAGCTCCCAAATTTATCTTTATCCAGCCCTGCCTTGGAAGACAACATCTAACTTCCTGCAGTCGTCCTGAGACTGCTAATGAGCTGATGGTCTTCAGCACGAGCTGCTCCCAGAGCCCTCAAACACTTCTGCAGGCTGCTAAACACCCGAACCGAAAACCCAAACCCAGGCGCACGCCGCTCGTGCCCAAGGGAAAAGGATTCATCCAACCTGACCATCGCTACCGGAATGCGAAATGCCAAAAACCCCAGCCAGAATCATGATGGAAAGCAAGCCAAGTCGTTAAAATGCTCAGTTTCATTACCCCAGGGCCTGATGAACACAATTCTCCCATTCTGGGTGCAGCCTCTTGGCTCTGCAGGCCCACAGGCCATGCATGGATCACGCTACACGTGACACGTCGTGATGTACACGTCATGTCACATGTGGAGCCTCACACTACATACACTGGTCCATATATAGCGTGTTCTCCCAGCTGTGAGCATGGCATGGCATCTGTGTTTATGTATTCGGGGTGTTTCAGCCGTGGGAACTGACTTGTGCTTTTGATTCTCCTCGTTATTTAGGGATTTATGGCTTTAGTCTGACCCCTTTCAGCTCAGTCTGTTGGGCTGCACCCCAGACCTCATCCTGCTGCTATCACCACTGCCCTGAGTCACGGCTGGGTCAAGACAGAGTGAAAGCAAACTCCAAACTTACAAGTCCTGGAATCCGTGGTAGGAGGGGGCAGAGGTGAAGACATCAAGCAGCCCGATGACCTGATGGGGAAGAGAAATCCACGTTTAAACCCAGAGAGCATTTGCCATGCAGGTGGGACTCCATCGGCACACGGGAGAGCACCGAGGGCTCCATCCGAGGAATGCCAGGACTCCTCGCTATGCCACGCAGCTGCTTTTCCTCTTACTAACACATGGCAGCACCCATTACACATCTGCTCCCAGCACCCATTACACATCTGCTCCTGCCCGGTGCCAACTGGGCGCAGCAGACAGCGCTCAAGCCCCGGGACTGCCCACGCGTGCCAGCATCAGGACGTCTCAATTAAAACAGAGGTGATGCCACCAGGAAGGGCTTGCACCAAGGAAAACCCCCTTATTTCATCAGGAAAGGAGAAATCGAGGGCTTACGTTCTCGTGCTGCATGTGCTTCAGCAGCATGAGCTCCCTGTACGCTCTCTTGGCAAAGATCTCGGACTGGAAGGGGCGGCAGAGCTTCTTGATGGCCACTTTCTCCCCGGTCTTCTTGTCTGTGGCTGAACTGCAGCGGACAAATAAAAACCAGTTCAGACATCAGCAGGATGTTTTACCAAAGTTTGCCATACCAAAGGTCTTCTAGAGGAGAGCTGATGCTGGAGATAGGAGCAGGACGGCAATGAAAGGCTCTTTGGTCTTTCCCCATGGCACACACAGACGTTGTCCTGTGTGATTTCGGGCAGCAAATTGCAGCCCATGCTCTTCTGAGGACATGGGGGACACCAAGCAAAGGATCAGTGGCTCCTCTTTATTATTTATTATTATTAAAGCAAACAGAGCTGTGAGAAGAGAGAAATGAATGGCTGAAGGCCGAGATTGGGTCTAACTCTGCCTTCTCCTTCCCTAACGCGGGGGGAATAAAGCAATTTCTGCTCTGCCATCTGCCCGGAGGTTTTTGTCTTTTCAGGTCCATCAGTCGCCTTCGCTGTGTTCTGGAGCAAAGGAAGTGGATGCTGTGCACTGGAAATTCAGGCTGCTGGAATGGATCCTGCATTCGGGAGCTTTGATGCTATGCATACGCTTCTGTGTGCAGGCAGGTCTGGCCAAAAATGAGAGTCTTTTAAGGCTGATGAAAGCAGCCGTCGCTGGAGACACGACGAGTTATTCCCTCTGGTCACATTCGCCGTTTGTGGCTGGATGGGGCCATCCCACGACAGCTCCTCTGCTTCTGGAGGCTCCTTGGTCAGGTCTGACCAGCCAAGAAGAGCAGAGGGAGGTCTCTGTATGATTGCTGTAATGTGGGATTCTTGGTGGTGTTTCCTGAAGGTCTCAGCCCTTCCTTTACCCCTCCAAGAGGTTTTTTCTCCTGCTTCCTTCTCCGCAGGGATGTGCGATTCGCCCCAGCAGTGCCAGGCCACAGCTCCTTCCTCAAGGCTCCCAAAGGACCAGAGATGAGGAGGGCAGGGACCATAAAGCCGTAAAGCAGAGGACGCGTCATCGTGACCTCCAGGGCCATCGCAACAAACAGGGAAATGCCACCCGTAACAGCACAACCAAAGGGTGCGTTTCATTTGGTGTAGGGAGGAGAGGTGGGAATATTCCCCCGTGCGTGGCTTTCCCCTTGGTTCAGTGCCAGGGAGGGGTTACCAGTTCCTCAAAGCAAATCTGGGAAGCCTCTTGCAGCTTTCTCCGTGGTCAGCCACAAGTGATCAGTTGTGGTTCATCCTCCATCGGTCCGGGCTATCAACGGCTCCCACCAACCTCCCCAGTGCCATTGGGAAATCTCTTGGCCACCACGATCCCTTCCAGTCGCTCCAAGCTGTGGGTGCCGAGAGCCGACACATCCTTGGGCAGCTTCATTTCGATGGTGATTTCATTAATCCATTGAGATGGGAAAAGCAAAGGGAGCGCTGGAAGAGCTCCACGAGGCAGCCACAGCACTGAACACGGCCTGGGCTGTGTCAGGAGGACGGGGAGGAGATGTCTCGGCCTTAGGACTTCAGTGGGAGGTGGCAGAGGGGACAGCACAGTGGGAGGCTTCTGAGGAGCCAGGGAAGAGGAAGGGACTGAGACCATGGAGCCAAACCAGGGCTGCAGAACCACCATGAGCCCAACCAGCTCCCGAGCCCAGCACAGGGTTAATGAACGGCTGAAATTTGGGGTGACCCCAGGCAGGCAGATACCAGCACCGGAGGGCTCTGCAGACTCCTCTCCCACAGCTCCATTCAGCTCCAAGCCGAATCACAACAGATTTTGGCAGAATTAACGAAGGAAGGAACTCGTCTTTGCTGTTTTGCCCGAGGTGGTTCCTCAGCTGCTCAAGGAGGGGGAAAAATCCGAATAATGCTGCGACAGGAAAAGCTTCCCAGCGATTCCCAGCAGAGGACAGCAAATCCACACGCTCCCACCTCTGCTTTCTGCAGGAATCCACCAGACCCTCGCTGCCCATGGACACCCCGGACCTGGGCTGGTTCACAGCCACCCCTCCCTGCCGAGACCTCCCCTGGGACCACTAAAGTATTGATGGCTGGTTTTTTTTTTGGAGGACGAGGAAACTTTGGACGGATTTCTCTTCCCTTTCTCGTCCTTGTCTTTATTTTCGTTTACTCTTCCTGCTTCCTTATGCTAAACCCCATAAAACACTGTGCAAATACCAAAAAGGCCAAGCCTCATCTTGCTGGATTTTGCAGGACTCATTTAAGCCCCTCAGAAGCTGAAACGCACCTGGACAGCAAAGTGGGGAAAGGAAACACTGGGTGCCCCTCTGTAAAGAGGACAAGGACACAACCAGGACCTGGAGCTGTGACAGAGAGACTTTACCCAATGTCTACAGCAGGGACACACCTCCTGCTCGATATATTTATTATTTTTTTTAGCTCGGCGTGTTAAGAAACAAGGGCTCCGTTCAGGTGCTATCAATGGGCTGCTTCATGTTTAACCTTTCCCGAAGTCGCCCGGCTCCTCCCGCTCGCCAATGTAAACGCAGCGAGGTCCGACTGCCGCTCGCTCTCCCCGCAGCCGCCTGTGCCCGGCGGATGGAGGATGCTGCTGGGTTATCACCCACCCAGAGGGAAACCCCAGCCCACGACTCGTCCTGGTTGATGGTGATTTCATCTATTTGATGATTTCAAGCTGGAAGCAGCATCGAGGCTGCTTGGAAGCAGTATCATTGCTGGGCCCAGCACCGGCTGCCTTGGAGGAAGCAGCAAGGACACCCTGCAGCCACCTCTGTCCCAGCACCCTCCTCCATTATCACTTCAGACACCCAGGTATACGCTGCCAGATCAAAATCCTCCCTTTGTGCCAACTCAAGACCAAGGCAGCTTGGAGGCTGCCTGACCCCCAACGCTGAGCTGACACCCAGCAGCTCTGGCCCTCCTGCCTAAAGATGCCCACCAAGGTGAGCTCGGGTGGGAAACTTTCCCCTCAGAGCCCATCCAGGGCGAGCACAGGAGGAAACATCTCAGTTCCTCCAAGTCTCCAACCCGCTGGAGGCTGGAGCAGGAGGCAAAACCGCCTTCATCCCACATGCAAATGGCCTCTCCTAATGGAGGGGTGCCGACAAGCACCTCCTCGTTTCCCCCCCGGCGCGATCCTTTAAACACCCCCACCTCACCCCACTGCCCATTCACTCACCACACCGAGCCGTAGGCTCCGGACCCCACGGGGTGGAGGGCCGTGTATCTCCTGGGCAGCTCCCACAGCGTCTTGTTCACCTCCTGTCTGTAAAAGCCTCTTCTCCTTGCGATGTTCATCGCCCGGCGGGTGCGGGACTGCCACCCCCCCAGAGTACCGGAGTACGGGAGGGCTCCTGGGGTGAGACGGGGACAGCGAGGCCTCCTGTGCAGGTCCGTAAGGCTCTAATGCGTTTCCTTCTCTGTTTTCAGGTGTTGCCAGCGTGAAGGGACATGTCTTTGGGCCCTCCCTCCGCCTCCACATTGGAGGAGGTGAGGCATCAGGTTTCTTGACACGCCTTGGGCTCCTACAGGTGCCTCCGCTGTGGGTGCTGAGCACCCAGCCCCAGCCACACCTCCGGGAGCCCCGCTGTCACCCTCGGCTGGCACTGTCCTGCTGCCAGCGGGGTCACCAGCCCAGAAATGTCCTCGTGGGGCTCCGAGGGGGTCTCGTGAAAGCCCCGCTCTGGACGGGCGGATGAGTAAGGCCTCGTGGAGCTGGGGAATCTGGGGACAAGCCACAGCGCCTCGTCAGACGAGCGGGGACATTCTTCTCTCCAGCTGATGGAGGACAGCTCCAGCTCGTGACGAGGGACACCAAAATGACCGAGGGAGCGGTGGCGATTTTCAACAGGGCTGAGGGGCTCCACCTTCATCCAGGTGAGTGCAGCAAGGAGCGAGTTTGAACCCAAACCATCCTGAATCTCTGCTCTGGTCAGGTCTGACCCCTTCTCAGGTCCCCTTCTTGGCCAGCACCAAGCCCCCATTCACCAGCACCACACCAGAGCAGCCATGAGATCCGTTCCTGGTAAGCAGGGAACTCCTTGATATTTTGCTCCGAATTCAGGAGGCTCAGGTGGGGACACAGGCACATCCTACACTTTCCAAAGGAAGTGACTAAGCTGGACCTTACCGAGCCAGCCCGGCTGCTCACGCCGCGCTCGACCCTGCCCAAAGGTGATGTCCCTGCTCCGAGCACATCTGTCAGCAGGGTGAGCCACGTTACCTGGTAAATAGGAATTTATCTACTTATCAGAGAAATCTGGCATCTATCAGATACCAGAAAAAGCACCACCAGGGTTTTAGGGAAGATTCATTTTATCTGCTCACAGGCATCACTGCAACGTGTGTTACCCTTCAAACAGCCACGGCGAGGTCTGCTGGTTTACAAACCAAACCAGGGACGTGGTGCTGCAGCAATATTTAACCTTGCTTATGCATCCACGGCTAAATAAGCCCTGGCTACAGCAACGGCGCAGGCAGGAAATAAACCGAGGACTGGTGCTATAAATACACCTGTGAGCAATTGGCTTTGCTGCAAACCCTCCCGGTACCCGGGGAGCGTGCACCTCGTTTGTCATCGTGCGAACGCGGCTCTTGCTCAACGACGTGCGCACACGCCGGTCATCGGCGCACAATTAGAGCCTGAGTATCTGGGGCATGTTCTTGGCTGTAGAAAGATGAATTAATTGAAGGGACTGATTCAAATCGAACAGGAAACCTTGGGTTATGTAAACTGATTTTGGAGGTGTACTTTATTTTATCCCCCAATCCAGTTCTTGCTGATATTAAGGTTTCACAGCTCTGCTCGGTCTCTCTTCTGAGCGAACGGCACCAATACACAGCTCGGAAAATCTCCACTGATGCTCCTGCTCCCATCCACACCGACTCGATGGCAGCTGCACAGCTAAAAACACCCTTTTAAATAGCAAACACCAAGCAGTGCTACAGGGGAAACGCACCAAAACGCTGCTCTGCTGTGTTGAAACTCAACAGACAAGTGGTTCTCCTGCGTGCAGTGCCCGTGGTCAGACTCTGAGTGAGTTTTGCAGCAAAGGATTCACTGGGGACGCACAAGGACACAGCCCCGGTGGCAGCAAATGTTGGTCCCCCCCATCCCAAACGACGCGAGGGAGAAATTCCCACCCTGCAGCGCGAGAGGTTCGCAAGCACCATCAGCGCAGTAAATCTGAAAAATAGGTTTTATTTTTAACCAGTGGTATCGTGACATCTTATCTGGCATAACCGATTACAGCAAAATTCATGGGTAGAAACCAAAGGGCAGATCTCGGCTTCGAAGGGCGTCCTCCTGCGGCGAGGGCGGGGAGCGCAGGGCCTCCGAGCGCAACGTTCCCAGTCTCACACACACACACACACACACACACACACGGACGACTAGATCCTTAAAAATCTCGAGCAATATTTCCGCATGAAGTCACACTGTAGCATCTACACAGAAAACGGCCGATAAAAATAATCTCGCTGTAGGTTTACATAATGTATCTACATTTTTCCTTTGAATACCCGGACTGCTGGTCCGGCAGAAACAAAATAAAAGGGAGCTTTTCTGTCTCGATTTCGTTGGGCTGAGGAGAGTTTTATCCCAGAGCATGAAATGAACGCTCTCTTCATCTCACCCAGACCTTCCTTACGTCTTTGACCTGAAGAGATCACCGGAAAGCGGCCCAGGAAGAAGCGATGGCTTTGTCGTCCGTGTCCCATCCCTTTGTGCTGCCTCTTCAAACTCGGGGTAAAAAAACCCTACAAACAGTTCCCATAACAAAAGTACAAAATACTGCAAAAGCCTCTCTCCTCTCACACGCACGGGTACGGTGTCCACACAGGATGCCTGCGACAAATCAACGGCTAAAAACACCTCTGCAAGTCCCAAAATGGGGCTCCTGAGCTCCCCAGGTGCGGCTCCAGCACAGAAAAATGCTGAGAAGCCTCCCTCGCCAGCTCTGGGCATCGCGCAGAGTCCTGGAAAATACAAAATATCTGAACCATGGCTGCATTCAGACTTACTCCCTTTTCACGTTTCCTCAGGCAGAGATCAACCTGCTAAAAAACAGCCAAGAAGCTCTTGTTTCAGAGGGTAAAAAAAAAACCTCTAGTAAATGTTAGTTTTACATATATATTTATATATAAA